ATACAAACAATTATACTTATGAATACAAATGTTTCTACCATGATTGGTATAGTGAAATTTACTTGAAATTTCACTATAAACTAAACATCTAAATTTCACTATAAATTTAATCAATTAATTATATTTCAACACTATTAAAAAAGACTAAAAGACCGAATATTGTAATAAATAAATAATAAACTGGTTGACAGTACTGTGCACTGTCAACCAACATTTATATGCATGTATGCAAAATGTTTCGTCCAAAATTGGATAAGGTAACACATACTCACTATTCTGTAATCGATGTTTACATGAACAAATTCTATATTAATTTGTTGTTTCACGCGGTTCTAGAGTATTAATGAAGATTCTACCACGATGGTAGGAACAATCATGGTAAATTCCTGGTGAATACTTCACAATGGACTAACTGACTTCAATTGGATCCGCTTGCCCCTTCACTGTAGGAGATGTACTATTTTTTTTCTTTTATTTATTTAACTTCAATACCCAAAAATAATCTTATCATATTAATATAATAAACGCGAAAGTTTGTGAGTATGTATGGAAGTTTGTTACTCTTTCACGCAAAAACTACTGAACGGATTTAAATGAAACTTTACTTATAATATCAGAATAACACATAGGCTATAAATGGCGAACTTAACACCTTGCGGAGTATTCTACCAGGCAACCATGAGTCGTGCAGAGAAAGATTGTTGGCGGTGCACTAATATAAATGAGACATGTCAAAAAAATATCAATTATCTTGTACATATTTATTAAATATATTCGTCTATTACAAATTTGATTTCTTAGAAAACCTGTCACTGAATATGAAATTAGTGCCCGAGGGCATTGAAATGAATACAATATTTTAGACGAGGTTACCCAGGACAGTGTGAAGGGCATTGTGATATTTCAAATTACAATTGTGTCGAGATTTATTTAGAGAAGAATTTTTTTTCAATATTGTATACATTTTTTAAGATTTAACTAGTTCATTTTGAGTAATATTATAAGAAATCTTACTAACATTATAAATGAAAGTTTGTGAGTATGGATGATGATGTTCATTACTCTTTCACGCAAAAACTACTAAACAATCACTACTACTAATTTTTAAGAAACTTTACAGTTATAAATCAGAATAACAAACATAGGCTATAAGTTTCATACGAGTGAAACCGTGGGCACAGCTAGTATTATTATAAACTTCAAAATATAGCATTAACACTATATACTCAATGGAGTATAACAAATCTTCGTATTATGATAATACTAGATTTTACCCGTAGCTTCGCTGGCATTGAATCCACTAAATAAGTACCGTTGATAATTACAGTAGAAAGTTGATTTATAACTTCATTACTGGTTGCAAAACGTTAATATTTTGTTTTTTTGCTTTTATATAAAAAATATTTGTTTGTTTAAATAAAAAGTATCCTATATTCATTCGAATACCTTAAATAACATATGTAGAAAATTTCATGAGGATCGGTTCAGTAGTATTTGCGTGGAAGCGTAACAAACATATATACTTTCACATTTATAATAACTAGCTACTCGCCCCGCCTTCGCCCGTATGTACATGTATTATACATATAAACCTTCCTCTTGAATAACACTATCTATTAAAAAAAACCGCTTCAAAATCTATTGCGTAGTTTTAAAGATTTAAGCATACATAGGGACGGACAGAATGCGACAGCGACTTTGTTTTAACTATGTAATGATTAAGGATGTAAATTGGGCGAAATTTAATCATAAATGTCAAGTGTGATGCAGACGAAGTTACGCGAGTTAACTAGTAAAGCATATATATATAATAGCAGTAATAATTTCAAGATATATCGATAAAAAACTCTTTAAGTTTGCGTAGGGTTCGTAGCGGGGTATAAAATTGAACCCAGCATGGTGTCAATGTATTTCATACAGATTTATAGGGGTCCTATGAGATAACGTCGATACATAAAGATAATATTGTTATACATAGTATAACATTACCTTTTCATAACAAAATATGATTGGAAATTGCATTAAATAGTATTTTTTATAACAATAGTAAGTTTTTATATATACTTAAATATTTTATCTCAATTTTTGGTGAATACTGACGCAATTTCGAAGGTAAAGAACGTCGTGGTCTAGAGGCGAATTAGACCTCTAAGGTTATTAGTTGAAATCCATTTACATATTTTTATATTTTTGTCAACAATAATCTTTAATTAAAATTAGTAACTGCTGTTGTTTCGAATAAGATGTAAAAATATATATTTCTATGAAAAGTGTTCATAGAAACATATATTTTTACATTACATTATTACATTATACAATGGTGGGGTAATAAAATGTTCATTAAAATATATATTTATGTATATCGTATTCGAACACCAACAAAACTTAGTGGGTCATTTTATATAGACTACCACGGTTGTCTACCGCGAAACTTTGTGAATAGGGATGTATGTTTATTACTCTTTGATGCAAAAACTACTGAACGGATTTTATTGAACTTTGCAATAATTTAACTTATATATAAGAAGAAAACATAGGCAATAAATTTCGTGCAAGTGACACAGTTAGTAATTAAATACTTACATTCCGGCGATCTCCAGAATGTAAGAATAATTTCGACATAAATCCAGATTTGGAAAGTCGCGTCACAAATACAAGTTAAGAATATAAATCAGTCAGAACGGCGATGTAATTTTGGACGAGCGGAGGGGGCGTTATATTCAAAAGTCCCCCACGTCCTTTAAACAAAATTATTTAAAGAAACCCCTTTGCAGCTCCTCGGCGAGTTTTCCAGAATTTGGGCTCAGGTGAAACATGTCCGAAGTTTCGTACCCTCGTCACAGACACGCAAAATGTCACGTACATTTTTATGATGTCACTCTGTTATGCCCGGCAAAAACGAGTTGAATTAATGCTCGCTTATTTTTATATTTATAATATCCACTGGCGAGCGAGTAATCGAGATTTTCTTCGTACATTGTTTTCTTTTTTGTAAGGAATTCTTTTATTCGACTGAATAATAGAAAACTTTATAACAAATTGACGTAGACGAGAAAATCGCACCACAAGAATTCCGACTTACATTTTGGTTTGAAACTCTATAAATTGCATTGAATACTGACAATTTATTTTTAAATATATGTATATTTATAAATAAATATTATATATTTCTAATTTAATACTTAATTATAATATACATTTTCCCCCACTATTTTGTTAATTAAATCTTTCTATTGTTCACAAATATTGCTTTAAATATTTTTAAATTGAAAAATAATTAATCTGAATTAAAAAATATATATTCTAATAATTATAAAAACATAGTTCTTTTTCTACGAGTAGCGTGCATTATTTTTTATTGGATAAATAAACTTATTTAAATATTTAAGTAAACAACAATCTTAAAAAAAAAAATTTTGTTGTTGTTTTGATTCAAAATGCATGAATTAATATATACGTATTTTTTATAAATGGTTCATGGAATATTGTTTTGCGTTGCTATATCAACACTTACTGTTTTTAGACTGAGATGACAACTCAATACTTACTTTCAGTAACTATTTACTTGAAATGTCCAAAGGAAAGAAGTTTTACAGAACTGTACAAGTTCCTTTCCGTTAGATATTTGGTTGACATCTGTTGATGGAGGAACTGCAACTTTTTCTATTTATAACGTTATTTAGTATGTATTATATTAGATATTAATTTTTATTATTTTTTTGAATAAATTTAGTATATCAATATCTCTACAATTAATACGCATGACAACGGAAATGTATTTTTTTAAGGTAAAATAAATAAACAACTTACCAATCCATTGCAAAGCATTTGCAAATTTGCAAATATATTTGACACAAATATAGAATTAAAAAAAAAAAAGAATAGAAAAAAAAAATATATAAATAACATAGTTCAAAGTAAGAAAAGAAATATAAAAGAAGGTCTATCTTTTTTATATTCCTTTTCTTACTTTGAACTATCTTTTTATATGTAATTCTTGCTAACGCTTATGCCACGCTGACTTTGAAACATAGGCTCCAAAATCAGCGTCAGTTCGAAATGACAACTGAAGAATATATATTAATTCCTTAGTAAGAATATAGTATTAATAATAATATATAGGAACAAAGAAAACACGCCTTGCTACTGCTCAATATAATAATGGACAAAGACAAAAACACATTTACCCACATTTGATATACAATTGTTACATTACTTATAATTATTACACATATACCTACATACATACATTACAATATCCAATTATTACAAAACGACGTGATTGCACGCATGATTGAAGGACGCAGGAATGCTCGATTTGGTGGCGCGCGTTCTAACTTCTCTTTCCCTTTGTGTATCTTTACATGCATATTCTTTCTCGTGAATGCCAATTCATGCATATAAAAGGGTAAGTGTAAAGGCAGCTATTTATATAAAAAAAATATTAAGACTGGATTCACTCTACAGTCTACAGCAATGTCTGGTTATCAGTTAGACTACTAGTGGAAGAGTTAATGGAAGATTCTGTAATCTTATTATTGTATTAAACAATTGTTTTTGTTGACGGAGAAAATTCATCAAAGTGTTATTAGGTATTAGGTTTTCTATGTACCTTTGTTTATGTAATTGTAGATTGAAGTTTTAATAAATAAATAGTTTCTGTAGCAATAGACAAACACAAGATTTAAATACCACAAATTGGTATGTGATGATGGCTTCATCTGATTACAGGGTGTAGAAGGAATAGATAGTTTACTTTCTTGAAGTATTGGTATTTTGGTTTAAAATTTCAATTTCGAAAGTGTACGTTATATGTAGTAATTCAAATAGATAGGTATGCGCCTCAATTACAACATTTCTTCGGTGTTGCTGCTTGTTACACGCGACACAAATAATAATACGAAATTTTCAATTTAACATTTTTTTCACCAAGAGTTTGTATATCGCTTTAGCCGTTTAGACGTAACAAGTTAACAAACAGACAATCATGTTTAACCTTTCTAGTGTAAGTAGGAGGTATCTTTCATACTTTTGCGTGGTGGTATCGCCCTCATCATATAAATGTAATTTGATATACGTGGCACAATTACAGGAATTGTAATTTTGTGTTTGTTTGATATTACCATGTCTGACGATGTCGGTGTTAACTCTGTAAAATAGAGAGATATCGTTAATTGATGGGTTAATAATGATTGTAATAATCCTATTAATATTATAAACTAGAAAGTTTGTGAGTATGGATGTTTGTTACTCTTTCACGCAAGAACTACTGAATATATTTTGATGATTAACAGCTGGATATAATTTTTGCGCATTGATAGATATCCTAACCTATCCACTACGATCGTTTCCCCATCCAACGCAAACGGAGATTGAAATTACGACGGTCTGAGCTGAGGCTCGAACCTCTAGCCCTCAGACTAAAGTCATATCCGTCAGGAAGGAGTTGACCTTTAGGCGCTTCATAAGCGATAAGCGGCGAGTGTAGATGGCACTCGCTACCTATCGAAGAACTGTTGAATATTGGTGAAGCTGTAAATACCAGATGCGGCTAAAAGCATTAGAATAGTTCAAATCAAGACCTGTTCTAATCAGATTTTTTTTCTGTGTCCAGGTATCAAACCCACGCATACGACCTCTGAGGTCATCATATAAATTATATTAGTATGAATAAACAGTTCAAAAGTAATATTATATATATGAATACGCTACCTCTCTACTAAGCAAATTTGCTATTTTATGCCTCAAATCGTGTTACTGAAAATTCCATCAAAGTTTTTATTAATTTCTCAGAAAAACAATTTCTGTTAAGTTGCCAAGTTATTAAATTGTATAAATAAAAGTGAAGTATATATAAACAGAAGCGATGAAATATTAATTTGTTTGAAAATTCAATCTTTTATTTGAAGACTAGTCTCAACCGGCGACTTCGTCTGCTACAACAACAATAAGGTCCTCGGTGGTCTAGCATACACCTTACTTAAGACGGACATGGGTTCGATTCCTCGCACGGTGCAAACATTTGTATTCATGAGTATGATTGTGTGTATTGGTATATTTAGTTTTTATAATATTTTTCTGTAAACATATATTTTTATTCTGTATGTAAACATCTATTAATATCAATTGTTCAACCATTTTTGACACTAACAGTTAAATAAAAATCGTAAAAATATTTTTAACACGATAATTTTTCAAATTTCATTGATATACAAATCTGAAACTGATAACTAAAAGCTCATTGCTCGATGCATGTATACAATATTTCAATGTTTAATAACAATAATACTTTAAATTACAATAGCTACATTATATAGTATAAGGGAAAAATCATATAAAAACCAAATTACCGGAGAATTCTTCCTCATTTCCGGCTGTGGCCATATTGTGTTCGGTTCCTTTGTAAATATTTGCAGTGGACTCTGTAAAACCAGCGACCGTTTTTGATTCATCCTAATTAGCTATTTATTTACTACTAGCACAGATAATATAATATTACATACTACCATACTACTAGCGAATACCCGTAACTTTGTCCGCAAAATTTCTATACTCTAGTACCTACTCTCTCTAAGAGGTTATTATTATTGATGATCTCGGTGGTCTAGCGGTATAGCACACCGCTTTAAACACCGGGTTCAATTCCTCGCACGGCACAAACATTTGTATTCATGAGTATGAGTGTTTGTATCGGTCTGGCTGTTTTCTAGGTATAATATGTATGCATTTACAAAAAAAAACTATGTATATATATTTATGTATATGTATCAGTTATCTAGTACCCATAACACAAGCTTCAGCTAGCTAAACTTAGGTCTAGATGGCGCTGTGTGAATTGTCCTGAGATTATTATTACTATCATTATACCAGATAGCTGATACAAATACATAGATAATTTTTTTTCGTAAATACATACATATTATACATAGAAAACACCCAGACCGATACAAACAATCATACTCATGAATATAAATGTTTGTGCCGTGCGAGGAATCGAACCCGCGACCATCGGATGTAAAGCGGTGTGCTAGACCACTATACCACCGAGATCGTAAATAATAATAACCTCTTAGAGAGAGTAGGTACTAGAGTATAGAAATTTTGCGGACAAAGTTACGGATATTCGCTAGTAGTAAATAAATTGCTAATTAGAATTAGTTATCTATACATATAAATAAAATTGGAGTGTCTGTTTGTAATATTGAAATAACCGTTTTTTACTACATGCATATGAATATATATATTTTAATGCAGATAATATATTTATAAAATATATACGACTTGCATGAAGGTGTTGATTCATTTCTACGAAGTGTGACAATATTCTCGTAACATGAAGATGGAATTTAATATTTATTTTATTTTATTTATTTACTTAATACAGAAAACATGTGTACTAATTTACTAAAGAAACGATGATATTCACAGAAGTATAAAACTGTGTTGCAAATATCGACGCCCTCCACCTAGTATATATAATTCCAAAACTAAAATAAAAAATAAAAATACATGCAATGTCGTTACCCATCACGTATTGTCTAAAAAATTTACAAAATATTTAAATTTACCAAAAACAAAGAAAATTTAACTTATAAACAAAAAGAAAGAATGCACAAAACAAAAAGAACCTATGCCTGTATTTGATATGTATATATGTAAAACATTATGCGTATGTGTGTGTGTGTGTGTGTGTGTGTGTGTGTGTGTGTGTGTGTGTGTGTGTGTGTGTGTGTGTGTGTGTGTGTATGTGAGAGAGAGAGAGAGAGGGAGGTCTACGATTACTATACATTATTTTTGAAATTACAATATTTACGCAACTATTACAATATTTTAAAATATTATATTACAATATTTAATAAAGTTTTAAAAGATCCTCAGATTTTTCATACGATAAGTTTTGAAGCCATTTTGCACACAACAGCTTACATTTGTAGTAGGATAGGGGATATATGTTCAATTCTTTATTTAGCTTATTATACAAAATAGAACTTACGTGGTTATAATGACGACTAGCTATTGCAGTACGACAAGGATTTAATTTACATATTTTATAAGTTCTACATCTCAAATTTGTATCATTTGAAACATATGGAACATATGGAAGCTGAGAATGTTTACGAAGCGTAATGTTTAGTACAAATAGTTGACGGACCGTTAAGACCTGACAAATTGAATACAAATCTTCAGTTGGAAACAGAATTGGTTTTTTTGTCATTACCTTCAATACAGATCTTTGTGCTCGTTCAAGTCTCAACAATATAGTTTTAACTGCTCCTCCCCAGGAGGTAATACAGTATGTAATAATTGACTGTACTAGTGCATAGTATACAGTTTTAAGGCAATTAAAGTCAACGACACTTCTCAAGTTCTTAAAAACATATATTAATTTCCTTACGCGGGACACAGTTGCATCAATATGCTGTTTCCATGTTATTGAATAGTCAAGTGTAACACCAAGGTACTTAAGGGAAGAAACGCGTTCTACTGATATGCACTTACACATTGTGGGATATGTATATAGGGTACATATACCAAAATACCAATTTTTATAATTTTTGTCTCTCTGTCTGTCGGTCTGTTTGTTCCGGCTAATCTCTGAAATGGCTGGACAGAACTTGATTTTGACAGAACTTTTTTTGGCAAGTAGCTGATGTATAAGGAGTAACTTAGGCTACTTTTATTTTAGAAAAATAAAGTTAAATTCCACGCGGACGAAGTCGCGGGAACAGCTTGTTTACAATATAAACAAATAAAATATGAAAATCATATGTACTACACTAAGAAGAACAAAAAAAAACTGATATATAAGTAAAGTAAAGCAGTAAAGCAACACGTTCGTACATGTTTTAGACTTTCTATAAACATGTCCGCACTAATATTCCACCTGTACAATACACTATGGCTTAGCTAACTTTATAGGACAGGTTATAACATAGATTATGGATCTAATGTCCCGAACCACTTAGTGGTGCGGATGGGTGGACATTATTCTGTTCATGGATGCATGATGCGTGTGTCTGGGTACATTAATAAGTAAGTCGCATATTGTACCTACTTATTACATATATATATATATGATGAGGACCTCGGTGGTCTAGCGGTTAATCACACCGCTTTACTTCCCATGGTCGCGGGTTCGATTCCTCGCACGGTACAAACATGTGAGTTCATGAGTATGATTGTTTATATCGGTCTGGGTGTTTGCTATATGTATTACTAGCTTTTTCCCGCGGCTCCGCTTGCGTTAATTTATCTCCTTAGGGGTGGAATTTATTAAAATCCTTTCTTAGGGGATGCCTACGTCATAGTAGCTTTATGCATGCAAAGTCTCAGCCCGATCTGTCCAGTGGTTTGGGCTGTGCGTTGATAGATCACTATGTCAGTCACCTTTGAGTTGCTATATATATTATGTATTTTTTTTCAGACTACTCTAATGTTGTTGGCCGCAGCTGGCCTTTACAGCTTCACCGGACGATAGAGGGCGAGTACTGATGCCACTTTAAACCTGCGGAAGGACTTTTGGAGCGACGGAAGGCTAACTAAATATTAAGGAATGAAGGTTATTTTATTATTTAATTAGTTAATTATCTCCATAATATAATAATAATAATAATAATAATCTCAGGACAATTCACACAGAGCCATCTAGACCCAAGTTAAGCTAGCTAGAGCTTGTGTTATGGGTACTAGATAACTGATACATATACATAGATTTTTTTTTTGTAAATACATACATATTATTATACATAGAAAACGCCCAGACCGATACAAACAATCATACTCATGAATACAAATGTTTGTGCCGTGCGAGGAATCAAACCCGCGACCATCGGTCGTAAAGCGGTGTGCTTGACCGCTAGACCACCGAGGTCGTCAAATATGAAAAAATCACTTACTTGTCTCTCTAGAATCTTCTAGTTTAGGAAAAGGAGGTTTCTGCAAATTATACCAATCTTCGAAACATCTCCAAAGCGGTTGCCTAATATGCGGCACCCTGACTTTTCTAGAAGATACATTATCCTCTAGATGTAGTGGAAGTCTTCTCACTTTAGTGCTTAATAAGTCTATCGATGTTGATAGCTCAGTTGTTGTGCCCACGGTCCTAAGTTCGATTGTTGTTGTTCTTAAAGGTTGTGTATTTGAAATTGTTTCCGGTTGAGTTGTTGCTGTAGTTGCAGTTGTTTTTCTTTCTAAAAAGAAAGTAGTTTTTTATAAACAAATAATACATAAATAATCCTGTACAAATAACTAGTCCCACGGTACGCAGAAGTTTTGTTAAGGGTACTAGATCTTATATCTTAGATCTTTTTTTTTTGTAAATACATACGTAATATACATAAAAAAATCCAGGCCGATATAAACATTCATACTCATGGATAACATAGTTTGTATATTTGTTTTTAATAATAATAATAATAATAATCTCAGGACAATTCACAAAGTGCCATCTAGGCCCAAGTTAAGCTAGCTAAAGCTTGTGTTATGTGTACTAGATAACTGATACAAATACGTAGATATATTTATTTTTGTAAATACAAGTAAAATAAATAAAAAAGTTTAAAATATAATAGTTTGTGCCGTGCGAGGAATCGAACACGCGACCATCGGTCGTAAAGCGGTGTACTAGACCGCTGGACCACCGAGGTCGTCGTATTATTTGTATGTATATTATATGTATGTGTTTACAAAAAAATATATCTGTGTATTTATATCAGTTGTCTAGTACCCTCAATATAAGTTCTGCTTACCTTGGGACTAGATCGCGCTGTATTATTACTTACTTCCACCTGCTCCTAATCGTCTTAACTTCACTGGTCTCCTTATAGCTGCATTCACACTATCCCACACGTTGCTGATAGCATTCTTAAAAAGGAAAAATAAACAAAAAATATTATTTATTTAATAGCTTTTACTCGCACCTTCGTCTGCGTGGAATTTAACTTTCTTATATTAAAATATTTATTTACATTATACTAAGCGAGCTTAGGCTACCCAATATAACTTAAGAAGAATGCAACATGTATGTAACTTATAATATATACACTAATTATAAGGAAAATAATCTTAATTTTACATACTACCTAAATAATACTGCCATCATACAAATATCCAGCAAATTACAGATAAATATATCTAGATCTGGAAATCGACTAACTACACAGTTGAGTAGATTCAATGACAGAGTAATGGGATCCTGCTTGTACAGCTCTGTTCTTCTCTATGGAACATCAATCTTGCACGTAATGATTGGTCGCTCTTATGGATACTGATACTAATACTGTTTGTTTACATTTTTCACCTCTCATGACTTTGACTACATATTCCATCAATGCAGTTTTCGATCTTACTTTGAGTGTACCTTTGAGCCCATCCCAAACAATCTATACATTTAAATATAATTGGAGTGTCTGCTTGTAATATTATAAATACGGTACATACAACAAAATAATATTTTTTACAATTTTTGTCTATCTGTCTGTTTGTTCCGGCTAATCTCGGAAACGATTGCACCGATTTTGATGGAATTTTGTTTTAGTAACTTAGGCTACTTTTATTTTAGAAAAATAAAGTTAAATTCCACGCGGACTAAGTCGCGGCAACAGCTGGTATATAATGTATATTACTGACTGACCCAGCAAGGTTGTTTTGTCATATAATTTAAAATCGCTATTAAAAAATACGGATTGATGCTAGAAGAGTGAAAATTTAGGGTTGCATGTCTTTTTTAACGTGTGAAATCTTAGGGATAGACAACCCTTATCACTTAGGGGTATGAAAAATAGATAGAAGCCGATAGATAGTGGTCAAGTCGTTTCGGAGGAGGTAACTAACATTGTGACACGAGAATTTTATATATAAGATGATGATATTGCTACCACTTACCCCAATGTTATCAGGGAAATTATTAAAAAAATCACCTAAAGTGCCGTATACAATATCAATGTTACACAAAAGCAACATATACGCAATTATTATAATCACTCTCATAATACGGCCGTACTATATGAATGTATGAACAATGACTAAAGCCATTCACTGTCTTTACTTATATTAAACATCCTAGTACAAAGCCAACTGCCACTGTTATGTTACTGATTGAAATTATAATACTGTGATTAATTACACATTACAAAACATTACAATTAACATACTCGTAACTATACTATTGTAATGTTACATATATTACTTGATTCATTACAAATCTTTGAATTTCTCGACTTGTTCTACACTATAACACGCATGTATCATACATATAAACCTTCCTCTTAAATTACTCTATCTACTGCTGAAAACTGCATTAAAATCCGCTGCGTAATTTAAAAGATATAAGGGAATAGACAGCGGTAGAGACTTTGTTTTATACTATGTAAAAGGTTTTCTATTTTATGTTGGCCTAAAAAGGACTTGTATCCAGAGCCGTAAAATATTTAAAAAAAAAAGGATATAACATCTAGATCAATTTACACTAATTACAGTGAAAATATACATGTAAGAACGTCACTGACATTCTAAATTTAAATTTGGCGCGCATTTGCAGTTGATTCAAACGTCAGAATATCGTACGTCATTTATTTAAAAAGTTTCAATGTGTAACAGATTTACTAAAACCATCTTAAATGTGTTCTAAATTTAAAATTTGTACAATAATAGAGTTAAATGTTGCTTTTCATTTTAGGTGAGTTATCTTAAATTGATCTACAATACATACCAATAGTAATGTGTTAATGGAGTAATTGAAAACAAGTATTCGTAATTCATTTTAAACTCTTTTCAGATCAACAGAGAGAAGCTGTTAAAAAATATATGTAAAAAGCAGTTGTAAAATTGTTCTCCAGTAGCATCTAGTATCATTAATTGTAGTTATAACAGTCTGAAATATTGAACAACACTAATGGACTCCCCACCCCATGAATATGAAATAAAATGTTGAAATTATAATCGCTTCTTGGAATGGGCGAGTAGTTTAAAATATTTTCGCTATTTTAATGGATAATCTTTAATTTTATTATCTTTACAATGTATTTCCAAGAAAATTATTATCTTTATAGTAGAGGTAGCCTTTTAAAACTTCAGTATTTTAACTGAATAGGACTAAAGCATAAATTATACTTACCAGTTCTATTTATGAAATATGATACTACATTGCATATTTTTTTAGACAGACTTTTTTGTTCTTTTTTCCTATCAGGGAAAGGCAAAAGGACTCAGTCAATACAGCCATTGTCTTTGGTTGTATTCTCATATTATATTTAAAGAGAGAAATGTTCCCGCCAACGCTAATGGTATACGCTGGCAGGGCAGACCAACAGTGGAGGTTGACTTGACCAGTTATAGGCTAGTGGTCACTTTTTCCCACTACTAACAAATTCCTTCCCACAGTTATATATATATATATATATATATATATAAAAAATTGTATGTTCCAAACATTTTAACAGAATTAAATAAAAATATTAAAAAAATCCAGTACGACTGTTTCCCGATGGGGTAATCAGAGGCATTGTCAATTGTCTGTCTGAACGGTAGATTTGATGTCATAAGTCTGTAATTAACGATATTTTGGTTTGATTTAGTTATTTTATTTTAACTTAACTTACTATTATGACAATATATAGGCTATCTTACTAATTTTATAAACGCGGATGTTTGTGACTGTGGATGTATTGATTGATGTTTGTTATTCTTTCACGCAAAAACTGCTAACTAGATTTTAATGAAACTTTACAATAATATAGCATCTACAAGAGAATAACACATAAGCTATAAATTTCACGCAGCTAAAACACGGGCACAGCTAATTATTTGTATATACTTTACAAACTTCAATTTGATATAATAAGACTATTGTAGAAAATTCAATAAAGGATAAATAAAAAAAAAATATAACTATATGTTATTAATTTTATAAACGCGAAAGTTTGTGAGTATGGATGTTTGAGACACTTTCACGCAAAAACTACTGAACGGATTTTGATGAAACTTAACAGTAATGTAGCTTATGCATCAAAATAATATTTTTTTTTATTAATATTTATAAATTGAGAATTAACGCGAGTGAAACCGCGGGCACAGTTAGTAAATTATATACCAAAGGCAGCCTAATAATTGTTGTTTTACAATTGGATTCGAAGCATAAATAATGTTAACCAGTTTGACTTCTAAAACGTGTACACCTCGTGTTGTCCGAAATTTCGTATAAAAATGAAAGAAAGCATGACGGGGCGGTGCGGACCGTTTTTGTTTACCCTTTTACCGTTAAAGTGTCGTGAGTTGGCAGTATCCTTATTTTCAAAGTCATTCTGTGTATGTATACAGCGAAATACGACAACATTTCGTATAATGGGCTCGCTAGCGTAATATATTTAAAATGGTAACATTACTTTTTAATCGCTATAGTTAGTTCTTTATTGCACTTATATCATCATCATCTGCTTCTTCCTTATCCCATTTATTTGGGGTCGGCGTAATATGTTTTTCTCTTCCATTCATCTCTGTTCGCAGTCATTCCGTTATTTACTCCCTTTCTCACCATATCATCTTTCACACAGTCCATCCATCTCTTTTTCGGTCTTCCTCTACCGTTATAACCATCCACATTCATATGTAACACCGTCCTTAGGATATGATCTTCATTCCTACGCATTACATGCCCATACCACGATAGACGATTACTCTTTAACCTCTCTGACATCGGTGCCACTTTCATACTTCCTCTGATGTATTCATTCTTTATCTTGTCTATCCTCGTCACACCACACATCCATCTCAACAATATGCAGTCGTCTCTCATCCGTCGCCTTTATGGGCCAGCACTCTGATCCATACAAAATAGCAGGCCGGATCATGGTCTTGTAAATTTTGCCCTTAAGTTTAAACTTAAGGGCAAAATTAAAGTTCCCCTTAAGGGGAACTCGTGAGTCGCACGTCGTCGCCGTAACCTGCCGCTACTTCATCCAACCTGAATTAATCCTGTGCTTTATTGCACTTATATATATAATAAAAACAATGTATTTACAAAAAAAATGTGAGCAATTATTATATATTTGACGGCCTTGGTGGTCTAACGGTTTATCTCTGATGGTCGCGGATTCGATTCCTCGCACCATGCAAACATTTGTATTCATGAGTATGATTGTATGTATCGGTCTGGATATTTTCTATGTTTATTATGTATGTATTTACGAAAAAAAGTATCTAAATTCAAAATTCTAAAATCATTCATTCATGTAGGACATTTCAGCCGCTTATGAATGTCAAGTTTTTACATAATATATTTTTTTCCATACCGTACCTAATTATTTATATCAGTTGCTAGTACCCATGACACAAGCTCTGCTTACCTTGGAAGTAGATGGCGCTGTGCTAATTGTCCAGGGTTAATTATTTATTTATTTAATAGCTATAGTTGCCATGTAAAAATATTGTTTGGTTTAATAATTGTACACATTATAAAAACGAGAAGAAGTCGTGATAATATAAGAAATAGACAGACGGATATGCAATATATATATTTCAATAACGTGTCGTCTAATAGAATAACAATAGGATTGTCTATTGAAATATTTTATATACATTAGAACATGATTTGAAACTCTATTTTTGTCTATGGTCAATACTATACATTCTACATTTTTTATTATCAAATAGGGGAGCGGGGGGCACGTTGTTACAGGGGTAGGAAGTTACACGCGTTTTTACCGGGATTTTAAACTCTTTGATGGATATAATTTGACTCATTTGTGTTGTTATAACGTCGTGCACTAGATAAAAACTATCAATGAATCTACATTCGACATATTGACGGCCTCGGTGGTCTAGCGATTTAGCATACCGCTTTACCGAAGGTCGCGGGTTCGATTCCTCGCACGGTGCAAACCTTTTATTCTTGATCATAATCAGTCTGGGTGTTTTCTATATATATTGTGAATGTACTTTAAAATATGATACGTATTTCTTTCAACTATCTAGTACACATAACACAAACTCTGCTTAGCTTAGGACCTCGTTGTGTGAATTGTGGTTATTATTATTATTAATTATTATAATAAATCAACACACACACAACAATTCGACAACCTCGGTGGTCTAGTGGTTTAACACACCGCCTTATTTCCGATGGTCGTGGGTTCGATTCTTCGTACGGCAAAAACATTTGTATTCATGAGTATGATTGTTTGTGTCGGTCTGGGTGTTTTCTATGTATAATATGTATGTATTTACGAAAAAAAATATATCGATGTATTTGTATCAGTTATCTAGTACCTATAACACAAGCTTTAGCTAGCTTAACTTGTGTCTAGATGATGCTATGTGAATTGTCGTGAGATTAAATTTATAAAAATCTTAAGATTCAACGAAGTAATAAAAAAATTTGTACTATATAAACTGTAATGTCTATTTAATTCTATTATATTAAGGTATAATTATACCTTTGTAATTATTCAGTAACATCAGTTCTAATGTCACATGTACTAATGAGCTGAGAAGGTTTGACAAATAACATCGTGTTATAAGGTCGTGTACACACTGCTATGTGCGACGGATGATGAACGGATTTCAGTTTGGAAAGTCGCTGTGTACACGACACTACTTCGGGGGAGACTTCCGCTGACTCACGTCCTGAGAGCACATCGAGAGCATTATCGGGAGCCTCAGTGGCCTTGCGGTTTAACACACTGCAATACTTCCGATAGTCGCGGGTTCGAATCCTCGCACGGCACGAACATTTTTAATTTTATAGTTTTTGTTCAACAAACAGTGTACGAACTCAAATGTATATGTATGTATCTTTTGTTCTAGCAATAAATATTATTATTATTATTATTTGTATTCATTAGTATGATTGTTTGCATCGGTCTGGATGTTTTCTATATATAAAATGTATTTACGAAAAAATCTATATATTTGTATCAGTTATCTAGTACCCATAACACAAGCTAACTAGTTTAACTTGAGTCTAG